ACAGGTAGCCCGCACCAGCAAAGTTTAGCACCTCTGTTCCAAAAAGAGAAGGAAACAAGGGGAAAAAAATCAGCCCCAAGTTTCATAGTCTAGTGCAGCCCAGTGGAAATGACAAGGATTTAAGAAACTCTGTAGGAGGTGCCCTGTGCTCTCAGACAGAGGAAAGTCATCATTTCCACTTTGGGAAACAATTGGAGAAAATCAAACCTCTGCCCCTAGCATTTAATGTGCTTACCCATATGGATGGATGATTATTCCAACATACATTTTGCACTCAATTACAACAACATTAAAACACTTCACCTTCACCAGCACACACTGTACGTTATTCTTTTGTGTTTCCGTGGACTGGCTGTGCAAGAGCCAGCAAGTGATGTTTGCCTCCTGCTGTTTTCTGAGGCATGACAGCAAGACAGAAAAATGTTTGAAAAGTACTTAACGATAATGGGGAGGCCACTTAAACAAAGCCCAAAACGCAGTGTATGTTGTATACTCTTGTGATTGAAAAATAGTATCTACAAACCTGTATTACTGAGCAGGGACTTTAAGCAAACCAGTAGTCACAAAAACGAATCTGGTTGTCCTGCTGGTAGACAGATCCCTTTACAATCTCTGGCCTCTAGGTCAGGTCAGCCCCATATGGCCCATGGGCCAGACCAAAGCCAGAGGGCCTTGCACCCAGGTCAGGGCTGAGCAGCAAGCCTTCGTGCCCATGCTGCTGCTACTTCTCCCTACCCCCCATTTTTTTGTGCCCATTACAAATATGGTTAACATTGTTCTCCCTTTTTCTTTTAGATCATTGTGAGATTAGAACTAAGGGAGTTTTTATGCAATCTTCGAAACCACAGGTGTTTATACTGGTTTCAAAGTTTCCTTGCACCTTTGGAAGGCAGCAGGCATTTTTGTTTCTAGATTAGCTCTTGTCATATTCATAGATGTTAGGGTCGGAAGGGACCTCAATAGATCATCGAGTCCGACCCCCTGCATAGGCAGGAGTATCAAACATATGTTTAAATGTCATTCTCAAGCCATTAATTACCTTCCCTTAGTGATCCATTCAGAATAAGCATCATAATGAAATGTCACTCATTTCCACCCTACCTCTTGCATGACTACAATGCATCTCACGGGACTGGTGACAAAGAGAGATATCAAAAGTATCTCTGTGTGGATTTCTAACGATACAAATACATTTTGAAGACGTGTCTGCTTCTGAATCTTCTTGCATAGATTCATAGATGCTAGGGTTGGAAGGGACCTCAATAGATCATTGAGTCCGACCCCCTGCATAGGCAGGAAGAAGTGCTGGGTTCAGATGACCCCAGCTACATGCTTATCCAACCTCCTCTTGAAGACCCCCAGGGTAGGGGAGAGCACCACCTCCCTTGGGAGCCCGTTCCAGACCTTGGCCACTCGAACTGTGAAGAAGTTCTTCACAGGAGAAGGTTTAAGTTGGACATCAAGAGGCGCTACTTCACGGTCAGGGCGGCTAGGGTCTGGAACCAGCTTCCAAGTGAGGTGGTGCAGGCTCCCACCCTGGGGGTTTTTAAGAGGAGGTTAGATGACCATCTTGCTGGGGTCGTTTGACC